GTTACATACTAGTCAGAGGGGACCAGCAGGCACTGGGGGAGTCCCTGTTCCCCTGAGCACTGCCAGGAGTGACCAGGAATAACGGTCACAAGCTGGCAGAGGGTAGATTTGGGCTAGATATCAGGAGGTGCTACTTCACGGTCAGGGCAGCTAGGATCTGGAACCAACTTCCAGGAGAAGTGGTGCTGGCTCCTACCCTGGGGGACTTTAAGAGGAGGCTAGATGAACACCTTGCTGGGGTCGTTTGACCCCAGTACTCTTTCCTGCCATGGCAGGGGGTCGGACTCGATGATCTGCTCAGGTCCCTTCCAACCCTAGAAACTATGAAACTGTGCTTTATGTGTTTTCTTATCACTAGAAGAATTCCAGCTAATCTAACTTCCATTGTAAATTTAGGCCTAGGCTATTAGTCAGTTTCTGATGGCATGGGACCATAACTTTATCCCTGCCTTGCCCGAACCCATGTGATGCCTAGTGCCCCTGCTGACACTAAGGGGATGTCTGTATCACCTCAGGTTCTGCAAACATTAAGGAGATGTTTCTATCACCTAGTGAATCCCCAGGGGAACAAACTGTGCCCACTGTATAGACACTAAGCCTGTGCAAAATAGCAAGTATTTGCTTCGGATTTGGATTTGGCCAATTCGGAGGACAGTGATTTGATTCAGAGATTCAAAACACTGTCCTGACTCGATTTGGCCAGATCACATCTGACTTTGGTGCCGCTTTGGAGATTCGGCCATAGACTAAACAGGCAGCTGACACAGCTGCCTCCAGCTGGTAAGTCTGTTGGGGTTGGGGGAGTGGGGAGGGAAGGGGTGCGGGGCAGGGAGGGATTGGGGCTGGGACAAGCTGCCCAGCTGAGGTGGGTCGTGCCTTACTTGGGAAGCGGTGTGGGAAGGCACAGGGTGTGGGCATGGCAGCATTGGGAGTGGGGGCTCTGCTCTGCTGCTGCTTACCAAGTGAGCACAGGGCCGGAGGTTGGGCGTGTGATGCAGGCGCGGCTCTCTCCAGGTGGAAGGGGGCAAATGGCAGCAGGGCATAGACCCTGCTCCCAGCATTGCCATGCCTGTATTATTGCTGGGAGCAGGGGCGCTGCTCTGCCGCCACTTGCCAGCTGACACAAGGGGGTGTGGGATGTGGATGTGGGTACTGAAATTAGTATAATGTAGCTACTTTAGTGGTTGCTGGATATTTACCTGTAAGTTATTCTGAGGGTCTTTTTGGTAGGTGGCCAGCACTGCACTAAAGCAGCTATGCTGCATTCATTTTTGAAGTTAGCATGCACAGAGCGGGCATGAGGTTGCTTGCAGACATAAAAAACCACAAAACAAAAACAAAAAATTGCGCTTTAAACTCTGTGCAATCCTGTGACAAGGCCAGCACATGTCCAGATGAAGCAGAGCATTAGTGGGACCAAGCTCACCTGACATCTGCATGGATCAGGCACTTTAGTGAAGCTTTTTTGGTGCTTTTTTCTAATCACTGATTGAATCAGCTTTAGATAAAAGCCCCAAAAAGCCCCATTGAAGCTTCCAATGTACGCAGACGCTGCAGAGCTTGATCGAAGTAATGTGCTGTTTTTTCTGGTAAAGCACTTTTTTTTTTAATGTCTGCAAGCAGTGCTGGCATGACTTACTCTAGTACTCCCCAATTTTGTCCTGATATGTGGCATAGGCATGCCCTGATATTTCCTCCACTTATTTGCAGAGATAGCTTAAGAAACCTATCTTACTGTCCCGGAACAAGGAAGCAAAGGACAAAAGGATTCCTGAAGCCCACTCCTTGTCTTTATAGCTTTACAGAAGGGAAACAGGACATGGAACTTTCAGGCAGTGCCTAGACCACAAATGTACAGTGCCAAGCCACAGCATCCACAAATGGGCTGCACTGCTCTGTCTGTGGCCATGCCAGCTGGAAGCAAATGTAGCTATGTGGCTCTGTACTACAGCTCAGCTGTACTAATTAGGCTGCCTTTCACCGTGCAGAGGAAGCTACATTGCTTCTGGTTGTGTGTGCACCTAGAGGATAATACATGCAGAGTAACTTGCTGTTTTTGAGGGTGCTGATGCTGGTCACAGCATATCTGTGGTCTAGACATGGCCTGAGTCTGCAAATGAATTCTGCTAATGATTTGGGATGTGAATGAAAAATTGCTTATAATTTCTTTAAAGAATTTCAGTAGCTAGTTCTTTAATATCCAGCCTTTAAGTATACTTCCACCTGTCACCATATAATTTGGCAAAAAAGACAGCTGTTCCAATGCAAAGTATATTATGAATTCCTCTTTTTAGTAGTTTAATTTTGCTAGATTTAAAAGAGAAGATTTCCTTCTGCCCTGCACCCTTTAAACTGAATAGTTCAGTAAATGGATCATTTTAGTGTGCAGAAATAGTAAAAAAAAACAAACAACAACCCCCACAAAGTTATAGTCTTAAAGGATATGTGTGATGCTGAAAATCAGACATCAAAATGTACATTTTTTTAAATTTAGAACAGCACAACTCTTTTATGAGCACAAAATGTTCTTGATTTTTGCACCAGATAAGGATTGGGTTTCTTCCTTAGTGTCTTGGGTCCCATTGACAACATGGAGTATTTGCTGCCCAAATTAGGTTTTGCATGGGCAGATCAAGTGCAATGTGGAGCTTAGTTTGCATATTTTGTGTCCTAGTGGAATTATGCTAGGGCTGATAGAATTATTTATCATAAATCCCTGGTAGTATGGATAAATATTAAAATTAGGATTCAGAGGGATTCTGATAGAATACAATTTTTAATATACTTAGTATGATTATAATTAGGGACAACATTGAGCAAACTAATATGTCCTGACATTTGAATGTTATCATCTGCATATTTTATTAACTTATATGTGTAATAGAGGTATGTCAGCATGGACTAGATTTAATCTTTCGTTAGCATTAGCCATCTGTTTATGTGGAGCCATGTTTGCCTAATAGGACATAGTCCACTGGATATTTTACAAGAGTAGAAGTTGTATGATTTTAAAGTCAGAGTCAGATTTGTTGATTGCCTTAATCTTTTATTACCTTTCCACAGTAGCAAGAGTATAATAAGATGAACTGATGTATTTTCAACAAAAACTGAAACTGGGAAAAAGATTATTATACAAGCTGATTGCAGGTTGGAAGTTGATAAATGAATCAAGACCTGTAATATTGGTAATGTTAATATAAAGTACTTAACTAAAACACTCCATTTATAAGTGGCAATCAATTTATAATAAATAAAGCTAAATGTATGTGTGTTGGAAAAAAAAACATTAGGAAAATAGGACTATTTGGTTTCTCTTATAATGTTTTTGATTAACTAATACCTTTAAACCAGGGAACCTATATGGTTGTATTGCCTCTTATACCTGATTTGTCTTATGTAGGGTCCTCTTGGTCTATCTGGTTCTCCTGGTTTTCCAGGCATTCCTGGTATGAAGGTAAGAAAAGCTGATTTTTTTAGAAAAGTTTCTTTACCCTATAAAGATTTCAGTTTCCCAGAGTTAAAAAAGAAATCTGAGAGTACCTGAATTCTGCTTCATGCACAAAAAAGTCTGAATAGATTGTTGTGATTTCACTCTTCATTACCATCTGGAGCTAGAAGGTGAAGCAAAAGTTGTAATGAAGTAGAAGCCATTGATGGACACCAGTTACAGATGAAGAAATTAAACTGAAGTGAGAAAAACACTATTAAAGCAACCACTAACTAGAATACTATGTTAAACCATATGGCTGTGATATCTGGTAGCTTGAGATAGTTGGGTTTGTAGATCCCTAGGAAATTGACAGCTGGGGGGAAGTATCAGTTTTGATGTGAAGTTGGTGTGACTGCACTGAAGGATAATGAAGAGCAAAATAATCTAGCACAGAGGAGGTTTGATTAATTAAAATAGTGTTGTAAAGCAGTTGTGCTCTCATGCAAGTTAACTTTATCCGATCTCTAGGCTTATACTAAACATCCTTTAAATCTGCTACAAGAGAGGTGATTTGGCTAAATGAATAGGAAAAGATTAAAACTTCCAGATGTTAAAACTAAGGATATTCTGGTAATCCTTTATTTTGGAAAGTATATGTAAAACTCTGTCAGGAGGATTTTAAGGTTATTACAACTCCATTGATGCAACAGGATTGGAATTTATTTAGAGTGTTTGCTTATTTAAAAAAAACAGTTTTTTTCATATTCTGTTCATATCTTACAATTCTTGTTCTCCTTTTCTGCATAATTTATTATCATATACCTGTTATCTGACATTTAGGTACAGTAGAAATCTACAGATGTCAGTTATGATGCAGCTCAGACAGGTGACCTTACGTTCCAAGGAGTTGCTATTTTTCCTGTGTATACTTTTTTAATAAGAATTTTGTCAAAGGACCTTTTAAGAGAAAACATTCCTCCATGACTTTTCCCTGACCCTTTTAGAGAAAGCACATGGCTATATTGCTCAAAAGGAAATGGGCAGATGGTGACTGGCAGACTGGAGCAAATTCTGACATATGCAAGAAACAATTAAATGCTCAAATAATATCCTGAGTAAGAAAACCAAATGACTTGCCCATTTCCTCACTTTTTGCATGAGAAAACTTACTGCAGCAGGAAGAGAGATGGATTATTCTTTGCACTCACCTCGGCTCATGTAAGGGGGAAGAGTGGGCTTCAATTTCCTGATTCCCAAGGAATTAGATGGCTCATTAGAGAGAAAGTAGCAGCAAGTTGCATGATTTGGCACAAAGTTGTATATAATTAGGAAGCAGAAGGCTTCTTGATTTGCCAGTGTCTCATACCTCTGCCCTTTCTCAAACAAGATGATCACATTTGATATATAACTCAATGAGCAACAAGAAAGACGGGACTAAGAGAGGGAGAAACGCATTTTTAAATCTAGTGCTTCATGACTGTCACTACAAGACATTAATATTTTGTGAATATAAATTTGAACCTGCATTGTAAAATAATAATGTAATGCAATACTTGAAGAACTGGAATCCCTAATATTTTATAATGTATGCAAACTAAAGACTCAAAGGATGAAAAAATATTTGATTCCTTTTTAACAATAAGGAAATGACATTTTGTGAATGTTGAAGTCTCTGTTATGAAATGGAGAAACATTATGGCATGCATAACTGGGGGCTATGTAAGACTCCACATTCCACAGAGCACTAACAGAACTGCAGAAAATTATAACAACTATTTGGTGGGCTATAATGTACTTTCATAAACTTAATAAATCATAAACTTTCTGTGTCGAAGTCCTCCTCTCAAGCCTGCTTTGTAAAGGATTAGTAGATGAGTCAGTCCTTGACTGGACTTCTTGAAGCAATTGCCATCATCTCCCCCTTTTTTTCTATTTTCTTTTTTTTTACCTCATCCTTCTCTCCATGCTTTTTTATTTTAAACTACC